AATAAGTGTGGATGAAGTAGCAGTGTAGTGGGTGCTACTGATAGGAATGGATAAGTAATGTATGCTGGAATTCATAGGGAATTACTAGCGACAGGTAAATATTTTGCCCAGTAGAATGCAAGATACAATACGGACGTATGAAGAACAAACCGAGGCAGGAGAAGAAGAGAAAATGAAACACATTGTACAAACGACTTTTCGAATGCAAAGTGTTCAATATTTCATCATTACTGTACAAAATGTTATAATAAACACTCCTTCCCACGTCTCAGTCTGTATCGTTTCCCACAATTGGTGTCGTGATGAAGATTCCATGGCCTGCAGTGTTTGAGGATGGAGATACCAAGGTCTTTCTCAAGGACTTCCAGTTGGTCCTGGGTCTGGTGGGTGTCCGGGATCCAAAAGCGAAGGTCGTGGTGCTTGGCACGTTGTTTAGGGGTAGAGAAAGAACTGCATATGATGGCGTGGAACGTGTGAATGGGAAGGAGATTTGGGAGAGAATAGCTGAACGACTGGAAAGGAGTTTGACAGCCCAGAAGACAGGGAACTGGTGATGCAGCAGTTCTGGAGCACGAAACGTGGAAGAAACAAAAATCCGCTGAGAAGTTGACAAAACTACTTTGATGCGCACTTCCCACTTTTAATTAGGATTCCCAGGCACAGTTGCTGGCTGCACAGTTCACTGAAAGTGTTCCGAATACCATTGCCGAGTAGGTACTACTAGTGAACGCAGCCCAACCCAACTCTGATAACTAACTGCCTATGACTTTTGCTGACCTCCAGACCTGCACTACTTATCCATTCTTATCAGTAGCATCCACTACAGTAGTAATTAAAATCTTCACTCTTAGTATGGTGTAATAAAGGAACTATAGTTTCATCAGATACTAACAGTTTTGTTAACCATATCTATTTCTCTAGAAATTCGCATATTTTTGATTCCACGTACACATTTTTGTGGATGAGCCAGAGATATACAGAAAAGTGTACAACTTTCAGAATTAAATTCTCTTCTCACTTAAGAAAACGTTTTCAGCCGAGAAATACAGTGGCAATGGTGTTTGAATCAGATGAAAAAAGCAGGCGTACAGATTAAGAAGCATCTAACGACTCAGTAGACGAATATGTACACAGTTTACTAGTGTATCATGAGCAGAACTTTAACTGTGGGAACAACATTTTTCTGTGACTCTAGTATTAAACCCTTCGAAAGTTATACATCTAAAGTTTACGAAATCTTGTTTTCCTAGTAAAGATATCCCACTGCAAAGAAAAATAATCTCCCATATCCCAGTGGATATTCTCCGCATAGATGATACTTTCTCACTTAGCTGCATTCAGTTAACCACCAGATGAGATGCATACTATTTCCTGCCGCAACACTTCTGAACAGCATACCACAGTAAAATGGAAGACTCTCGAGTATGCTAATGGGCATAAAAGCCATCCAAGAAACATCGCAGTATCATTATGCCTTATATGAATTCTACGAAACTGGCTTGGATCCATACAGTTATGCACAGAACTAGGATCTGGATGGAAATAAAACCCAAAGTATGAGAATTGAACAAAATCAAATCATTCCAATCAGTTCTCAACCATTTTGTTTCTATTATTTTTAACCACCTAATAATATCACTTAGAGCGGGGCTATTCTTGTATTTTGCCAATATTTAAGAAACTCTGTTATAAAATCTGGTTTTGCATCAAGTCTTCAAATGAATGAAGAAGCCTTTTTTCATTCGTTCAGCTCAACCATAAATGTCCATTCACGGTGCCGCATTGTAAGTGCAATGCACAGTTTGAAGTCTTTACTGTCCAAATACTGAACTAGACGATAGAAACTAATAGGTTACATTATAATGTTACTGTTCATCGACCTCATGTTTATATTTCGTAAATACATTAACTACAGATATGCTCTCTAGAAACTCGAAGTGCGAAACACAAAGTGAAACGAGATAACTACTACAATCTAACATTCCCTGAAGAAATGTTTAATTTTCCTTGATTTATGACAAACTGAACTTCAAAAAACATCATGATGCAACCAACCTTATATTATCTGATCATTCGAACAATTTATTTCTAATTCCATTACTGACCACAAGTTTATTACTGAGTTAATAAACGATTCCATAGTACGAGGCGAAAGGTTGTAAAACTGTAATACTTTGTAAGGGTTAGAACTTTCCAATCAAGCAATTTTTCCTCACCTCTAAAATGTGTCAGTTGGTCTAATGAACACCACTCGCCTACTTTTCAACAAATTTTAACATTTCAGCATATTTACGAATAAGTGATGAGTTTCTACTAGCTTACAAGATGTTCTATGTTCTACCTCTAGTCTACTCAGTATACCAATAATTCTGTGTAACGCATCATTAGTAATACTTGGCCGCTTTTACAGATGACCGATTTTGTCATTAGTTTATTATGATCTCATAATTTGTCAGTAATGTTCCAAGACTTATGTGAAGAATAGTATCAAGTCAATTAGCCTGTATTCCAAAAGATTCTGAAGTTTAATTAACGGAAAAGAAGAAAGACCACGGATTTAAACTTTCTCATAGGAAAGTTCAGAATTCCTTTTATTCTTAGCTCTCTTGTCTGCGTCTTTCTATCATCATAATTTATTAGAAGATTACAGCTTATATTCAACATTGTCTCTCCCCTTAAGGTCAAGAAAATTAGCTATTTTAAGAATACTCATACAAATAGGAAAAGTGATGTAATTTCAAGAGACAGTTGTGGAAAACTTTTGTCACAAAATAATCAGTAAACTATCAGAGGACTACCAGAGGAATCCAGGATGCCTGCTTCGTTCTATTTGGGACTGGTCAGCTGGACGTACCTGCACTCCAGTGAGTGATTTTGTCCCCACGGAGGCTCGGTCCCAGTACTTTTCTTTTCAAAAGACAGAGCGTTATCCACTGTCACTGGGATACGGTAGCAGTTCGGCTGTGTACGTGAACGGGAAATTACAAGTATCATTACATTTAGTAAACTACTTTCTTGTTTAATTCCTTTGTACCAGAAAGGATAGTTTACCTCCGTAGCAGACAATTGCTATTATAAAATATACGTAGAAACTCTTAGAAATACACTTTAGTGAATATTATCAAGTCATTGACACCTTACTCGATGAATATATCATGTACTTTATGTCGTATACCAGGCATCGTACGATCACGCGTGACATTGATTCTATTCACAAAGTCTTTGTGCATTCCCTGATGAAAAATCTTGTCTACCTGTTAATAATAACAAGTATGTGAGGTCTCACACTTATCTCAGTACCAGCTCCAGAATATCATCAAGTTTAATATTTTTATGGAGAATCACATATCAAGTCAATTATCTGACTCATGCACTAGGATTTGAGACTGTTTAACTAGGAAACGCTTGAACCTTAACAAAATAATTTCACTGGTTTTAATTCATCTGAAGAAAAAAAAGGAAATTTGTAATCTTTCAGTAGTTGTAAGAGTGATTCTGATTTATGGGTACAAACCCTCTTCCATATTGGATTTTTACTAGGATACTTAGTTACTCTATTTAGGAATAAATGTACATCGAGAAGGGTATCTACACTTGGATAAGACGAATAATTCAAAAAGACAGAGTAGGACTGCAAGAGCCTCTCACTTATCAGTGAATGTGATACATATCAGAGATGAATTCCGAATAAATTATGATGACGTAAACAGATAACTGATATTTCCTAACATGTATAATGAGATGAGAAATGACACAAGAAGTGTTTTATATGTTAGGCAGTAAAATAAGATGATAGTGAATTTTAAGAAATATAACTAAGCACCAGTTATTACTAAACAAGCTCTCGAATAAATCCCGTGAGTAGAGTGTTGTTCTGTCAACTCTTGGATGTTGTTTTGTCAGATACAACTGAGAAATGACATTATTATCTGACGCCAAGATATGAGGTAAATTTATGTATATAAACATGTGTAAATTTCTAAGTTTTCTGGTATTTTAGTAAACGGTAAAAGTTTTAGAAATGAGCCTACTATTTAAAAGTTGTCATTTATGTACGAAATTATTTCTCTTCCTCGTGGTCAAAAGATAATTAACCAGTAATATTATTCATTCACTTTATCCCAAAGCTCTCTGTTAGTAATTATTTCTTGGGAAATGTTTTCTTTTACAGTATTCCTAAGGATAAAGACAGTGTCAGAGGATTTAAAGCATGACACCACTCTCTTTTTGATTTCTCACAGCTGGTTGTCCAAGAATCCGATACTGTTACAAAATAGCCATAGGATATGTATATATCAAACTAAGATAGGTTGCACTATTTAGAATCAAATCCTCGATTCCTTTCCGCTTTCAGTTTAAGTTAGACCAAAATGCTTTGGACTTATGAGGTAATCAAAGAATAAATAGCTAAAACTTGGATATGTTGTAACTAATCAGTGATATTAGGTTGGAACTGATCATGGACTGACATGAGTTGGAGAAACATTGGAAACTTGGGAGCACCGGACAGCTGTTTCGTCCTCGTGTAGGACTCCTCGGCAGTGCGCACCCACAACTCATCTAGGGATCGAACACAAATTCCGTCGCCAGCACATTACTTTTCAGCCACTAGACAGGAATCCAATGGTCTAGCGCTCGTTGGTGACTAGCTTTGAGAGGTGATTCCTGAAGTTCCAATGAGGAGTTGTGACCAATGGAGTCAATCAAGTCAAACCTGAAGACAGTTACTCAACGACGACATTGTATGTTAGTTGTGAATCGACAGAAGTAGGAAATATGAACCACTAGAATACAACTCGATGGCTCAATGGCAACGCGCTGGCCACGGAACCTGAAGGTTGTGGGTTCGATCCCTGGTGGGCGGAGTCAGGTGTGCACTGCAGAGGAGTCCCATACTAGGACGAAGCAGCTTTACATTGCTTCTAGGTTTGCAGTGTTCCTCCAACTGATGTATATTATTGTGTTCTCATTTTTTGTCAAATCCTTAATTTTTTCTTCAGGGGAAACATCCCAGTTGAAAGGTCTTGAACTACGATCGCTATTGACATCAACTCATGAGTTCATGACCTATGAAGGTTCATTACCATTTCCTCCATGTCAAGAAACAGTAACCTGGATTATACTCAATCATCCAATAATTATTAGTGAAACTGAAGTGAGTTTTCAAGATATCATATTAACTACTAGATATGATAATTACGTTTATTTCACTATCAGCTTGTAGTAATATTTCTCTTCTTCACCATTCCACAACAATGAAGTAGGCCAATAAGGAGAAGTAAAAGTTCGGATGAAGTTTTCTATCTTTTGATCATTACCCAATATCTAAGTGTAAAAATGCTGTCTTTCCTAAAATATATCCCAGATGATGAAATTCCAAAGGTCAAGAGTACTCAAAAACTGTCTTATTGTTACTTTATCACTCATTCCATCCTAATTTGTGAAATGCACACTAAGTGAATTAGTAATCTAACTTTTTTACTGGTTCTTCACTAATGAATATCATTCGCGGGGTCATTGAAACCAAAAGCCACCAGATAGCTTTTTCTTTATTTGGCTTGAGAATATCTTCTATAAATGCGGGTATGTACTGTTAGTTGCATTTTGCCTAAAGATGATGTAAAATCACTGTGTATCAAACAGAAATAGTTTATTCTAGTACCATATACTTCCTTAGTCTTTTTGTATGGGTTTATTGTAGTAAAAAGTCGATTACCGAATACTGACATAAATTATGCTACAATCTACCTTGCCTACCACAGTCTGTCTGCTAAATAATGCCATATCCTCAGTGGAAATAATGACTAGGCATCAAGATTACTGGGAAAATATGAAAGCAAAAACTTTACAGAAATTGTATGTGAAAATTTTCCTTCATTTCTTAACAACAAAATGTTTAAGTAAAGTCTTATCTGTTGATTTCACTCGATATTCTAAGCGAAATTATGATAAACAATCAATTAAATAAGTTGAACGCATAAAACGATCCCAAATCAGTGTGTTTGTGGATCAGTCTACTTTTTTCCACAGCGCTGAGTACATTGGCCGTACCAAGTGCCAGATTGTGAAATGCGCTAGTGAACACTATCCAATCTGTATGATGAGACAGAAACGGAAATCCATCTTCACCACTATAAAAGAACACCCAGTAAAATCAGGACACCTACCTCCTTTTGATAAATAAGTCCTTGAAAATTTCGTATTAAAAACTCACTATTTACAGTAAACAAAATAGGCGAAATGATTTAACTGTTTACCTAAACTGTTTGCAATTTTCATCTTAACTAAATCTAAGAAGGTAATTTTCAAATATTACACTCTATTTTCCCCTCTGTACTGCGTACTCTCACCCGTTTGTCAACACACAAAAAATTTTAGTTAATTTAATAATTACCATTAACACTCAGTAGTCAAAATGAAGAAATAAAACATTTCATAGAAGTCGACTGCATAAAAACTGAGAGTGATCAAGCAGAATACTTGTGTTTGTACGTTTCGAAAAGCAAAACACTTCATACAACTTCCTCTTTTTCTACTGTACATCTACAATTTCCCTCCTCTTATCAAAATGATTGTTCAGTCGGCTGTTTGTTGTTTCGCTTTTTTTATTCATCTCAAAAGCTATACACACTTCTAGGCATTCAGTAAAAGCACTGCAGATCAGCTAGTATCTGTCTATGCATATACAAACCTTTAAGTATTCGACTTGTGTACGCTAATCAAAATTAAAGTTTCCACTTATACATGTCAATTTAACCGCTTTCAGTTAATCATGCTTTTTTCAGTTGAAGAGGAACATTTAATTTGGAAATAATTTACCTAAGATGGATAAAGTGTTTCTTTACAGGAAAGAAATGTGTAAAACGTTTTTTTTCAGTGTAGGACAGAAGAAAATAGTTGAGTAAAAGAATTCAAGGCTATAGAATACCAATACTGTTTTCTTTAACTAACCACTAGCAAACTGTATAAAAATTTTAATTTTATATCTCTTTAAGTGCAAAAAAAAGATCCAGTATGTATGACGAGTTAAATTCTAGAATACTTTTCATCTCTAAGATTTACCAAAGAATACTCATCTCAACTTTACTGTATAAAATAACTTTAAGATAATGAAATGGACTTTTTAAAATTATTAGGAAGTATAAATAGCAGATGATAAGTTCTACGCTAAATGAAACACTTGTCATTAGTATCAGAGTGAAATTATTGAGAAGTGAAAATACCATTTTGAAGTTTTGAAGTCTTCTGCCTTTCAGTAATGTAACCAAAGGTGTTAGTTCTGGGTCTTTCGAACTTCTAAAGCAGTTGCTTATAAGTATGAAATAAGTATCTAACTAGCTCATCTTCTGTAGATAGTAAACTAGGTGACTCAACACCAATAAGCATCAAAGCAAATATTAAGCTTCTTTGCAGTTTTACTAAGCTCTGAGAGTTTCATATTAGTCACTTATACAAATTTGACCGAGATAAAGAATGCATTAATTGACCGCCACAGAAAAACCAGTTTCATGTTGTTTAATCTTGTGTGAGTACTGATCGAAATCCACCAATTATTCTACAATATGGCCGCCCAGCTAGAAGGTTCACCATCACGGTGAACTTCTGAATGTTAGTCGGTTGGATGCGATCGGCAGGAGGCCCATGCTTCACTAAATTCCGTGCTTGTCAGCACTCGTCAGCAAAGCATATCTGCAACCTCAAGAAAAATTGTCTCCTCTGAACCCACATCACCCGAACAGCTCAGTGGTTACGTCTGTGACTGCAACACTGGTTGACGCGGGTCCCAATCTCAGAGCGGACATCAGTTTCTTCAATGTTGCACATACGCCTTGCTGACGAAGACACGAAACCTAGATGAAACAATGCTTCATGTCAATTGCTTCCAACCAATTAACAAAAATGAAAAATATTCTCCAATGACACTGGATGACGACGACCACATATTATAAGTTGAATGAAGTTTAAACTATCACTGAGTGAATTTCTAATTACCGGCTAAAATACTAGAGGTGAAACTTTGAGGACTAAGGTTCTATCTATAGGCAATTGTGGTTGTAAACTAATAGGCAGTTTCAAACGAAAACAAAACAGCTTTTTACGGTTTTTCTGATTTCCAGTGCTTCTCTGCTACGTGTCAGCCAATTGTTAAAGCCACTTTTGAACTAAGTAAATCTTGGTAGAGCGCTCAATTATATACTATAGAACAACTACATGCACTTTTCAGAAACGTTCTCTGCTAACTAAGGAATAAATGTTTTATGACACTGACTACTATCTACCAGCCAAATTTTATACATTTGAAGGTATATCATAAAGGTAATTACCAAAGTAAATTACTGACACCATGAAATTATCACCTAGTGGTGGCTGTAAAAAGCACTCACTGTTTTCAACATGATCTACATCAATCAAGGAACTGTTTTGTAAAATAAATGCGAGGAATAATGGCTTTTACTCTCTTTTGTAAACATTTTCTTCAACTACTGATTGATTGTTGTTTATACATCTTGTTATATGAACTCATTAATAAATAGCATTTGACAAAGGTATTAACAACTCTTCATTTAACCTGACATGAAGTGCAAATCAGTCTAGGCATATTTTGTTTTAATCAAAACTCTTTCCACCTTACGATCTACTTGTTTCTGTTAATATGATTATTTCTCTGTCCTACAGTTAAAAACTCTCCGACGACTACGTGTTGCGCATACATTGTGGTCAGGATCAATGGCTGACAATTTTCGACCAATTCAAGCTACTAACAACCGATCAGTTCGTACGAATATTAATTTTCATAGTTCGGTAAGAATGTTGTTCTGTTGACTGGTTTTGCACATCTTTACCGATGATATCAGAAGGAAAGAAAATAGTAGAATCAATAAACCAAGACCTTTTAACTAATCAACACACTAAAAATGGTTACACAACTTTTCTTCAAATGGTGCAATCATATTGACAGATAATTTCAGGTTGGTATTCATCATGGACTGACACCAGTTGGAGAACCACTGGAAACCTGGAAGCACTGAACATCTGTTTTGTCCTAGTATGGGACTCCTCAGCAGTTCACATCCATGACCCCCTCCAGGGATCTAAACCAGGACCTGCAAGTTCCGTGGCCAGCAAGTTACCATTGACCCACTGGGTCAGAGTCCAGCGGACTATATTTTCTACTTCTGTCAGTCCAAGATATATCACAGCCTCTATCCAGTGCCGTCGTTAAGTAACTAACCTCATGTTCGACTCAATGGTAACTTGCTGGTTGTGGGACCTGTAAGTCCCAGGTTAGATCCCTGGTGGGGTCAGTGGTGCACAATAAGAACGAAACAGCTGTCCAGTGCTTTCAGGTTTCCAATGGTTCTCCAACTGATGTCAGTTTATAATGAATACCAACCAGAAATAAATGAATAAATCTCCACAAACCTTCAAATAGATAGATAACATTGAACATGTTCAGTCTCGTGATAAAAATCTCTTTATGCCATTCAGAACTGTGGCTAAGAGAATGAAGACTCAGTAACTCAAACTATAAAAGTCCCTAGTTATTAATTTGTTCACTGATACTTGTGATTTCCCATCGTTATACTGGATTGGAGTTGCTCCACTCTGTTGGTAAATAGGCTCCTATGCGGATCCCTCGATACTGCCTCAATATTCATAATATTGCAACCATATTGGTTGCTAGTGGTGGTATCTACGGTGCGTGTTTTATTTTATTTGAGACTCACCAGCTTGAAGCACCTTCACCTCAGTGAGTGATGTTGTCCCAGCCGTGACCAGAACTTATTACCCTTCAGTTCAAACCACTGAGCGTTACCCAATAGGCCAGTGGCGCACGAGAGCCACCATCTGCCAATAGAGGTCAAACAATGTGACGCAGTATACCAACGGGAAATTACAAGCACCAGTAAGCAACAAGCGATGGCTTTAGAGACTTAGTGGCCTAGTAGAAAATGCACTACAATGGGTAATGAGCTTGAGTCCCGATGAAGACAACATCTCTGAGGCACATGTACATTTAACCGACGAGTTCCAAATGGGATAAAATGTGCGTTCTGGACCACCTTGCTAGTCATAAAGTAGATTACAGTGGAAAGTGGACAGTTTACTTGATGTAAGGAATTGCCTTATAATACTTTTCAAAAATCAGATTTTTCTGTTAATACCACACAAATAGTTGGAATAAATTTCGACAGAAATTCCTGTACATGAGAAGTGAGAAGAGTTGACATTTGAAACTCAGTGGTCGGAAAAACGAAAATTTCTGTTCAGTTTATTAGTTCCATATACTATGCATATGACAAGAGATGTTCTTATCGTTCCCGTTTCCAAACTAAATCGTAAGGATGTTAGCAGTTAGAAAGTTTACACAGATTTTGACAGAAGTCGTGTTTATATTGATAAACTGTCAGGTACCAAAGTCAACCCTTTCCAGGGTAAATTTTTTGAAATATAAAAATATTAATTGAGATGTACAAAGTACCGAATTCAGTTCACATTTTATTCGACAACCATGATGAATACCTCCCTTACCTAGTGACTTTATATATATATATATATATATATATATATATATATATATATATATATATATATATTTGATAATTATTAGTGTGTGAACTGCAATCTTGAGACCAGTCAGAGTATGTTCTATAGTTCAAAGATTGCTTATTCTGTGAAGTGATCAACTGAAAATAAAGTGAGTAGCTTCCATTTATATCACCGATTTCACCTAACAAAGATCCTTCTTACAGGTCTGATAGTATTTTCAGATTGCTTCAAAAACCACTACGTGATTACAGAGTTTACTGGGATGAAGCAACAACTAGATAGTAATACTTAAAATTCTATAAGGCATTTAACTAAGGTTATATCAGATATTAGAGATAACTTTAGACACTGACTAGACACAATGATATCCAATAGATTGCCAAACATTTTGATATTTTGTTGTCCTGTATCTTTCCTAATATTTACTTCACTTGTGATGGTGACTAGACAATCGTATCACTAGGAAGTGATAACTGACCTTTAAATTTATGTCAAAAAGATTTCAGCACAAACAAAACTTAGCACAACTATTCTTCCGTTGGAAAGGTAAATAAGAAGTTAGTCATAGATATACAAGCATATGCTTGATGAAAGTTAATCTTCAAAGCGATTTCAGGTAGAAAGTTAAGATGAGGACCTATTCAGGCATGTAAACTAATTGTAAGCCCTTCTCACCCTAAACTTTTATCAAGGGCTTCAAGTGTCATTTTTATCAGACCACAGTTCGATTCTCTCCAACTGGTCTATCTGAAGCTTAACCTAAACTTACTGATACGAACAGTTTGCATTCTTCACAAAATGACATCAGTTGAAGAACCATAGAAAATTTGGGAACATTGGATAGTCACGTAGTCCTTTTATGGGACTCCTGAACACTGCATACTCATAAACCCCTTTGGGGCTCGAACCCATGACCTTCCCGTTTCGCGGAGAACATGTCAACTTTGAGCTACTGGGTCGTAAGTCTACAATGTTTTACAAAAATGTACCATGCAAGTACAGTGAAATGACGTGTCGTGATGTTCAATACTGTCATCGTTTTAAACCTATCAAATCCTACTCATGCAACAGTAGTATCCATATGCTTCATAACATACTGAAGACAAAAGGAATTCTAACCCTTTTATTGCAGTGTATAATTTTCATTGAAATTCTTTCCGACTCTCTATCACAAGGTATTTCGTTGGAAACAGCCATTTTTGTATCCTTCGTTCATTTACTCAACCAGTCTTCATCTTTATTTTCAACTTAAAGTCTGTTTTCAATGTATCTATTGTTCGTATTAATTAAATCACCTCTTGGTAGAAAAAATAATTCCGAATTAATTATTTAATTGGATTCTTTCCAGAAAAAAGCAAACAGTGAATATCTCTTATTGTCTTTCTTCTCTTTGGTAATTAAAGTTTCAGTGTCCATCTGCTTACCTCCCTGTCTACACAACAGATTCTTGCTTAGTATAAAAGAAATCAGCTTTAATCTGGGAATTATCGGCTTGTGTATGCTGAACAATTAATTCTAGAATAAATTTTAGAAATAAGCTAACCTCAGCCAAAGATTTCAAGTATAGTTTCTTTCCGTAAATAAGTCACTTGTATCATAGAAGTTTATTCTTTTCCTCAAATAAATCACTTTCAAAAAACAAACGATCATTTGAAAGATGAATACAACACCGGATAGAACTAAACATTTTCAAATTGCTCACAATATATGTATATGTTAGCCTGTCTGATTTTTTTGCTCATAGTCTGCTGATCAAGGTAAATGATTTCAAACCTTCTCTATCAAGCAACAATGAAGAACCACTGTGATCGGCATACTGAAAGAGGAAAGTTAGAATTGAAAATTTTATTGGGTTAACCGACTTAGAAAATACTGTTACTTGATCCAGTACAACAGAGATTAAGGGCCAGTTGAAATAAATCAGTGGTAACACCTCAGATTGTAGTTTCGAATGCTTGTAAATCAAGTCTTAAGTAGATAATGAGATAATATGAAGTTAAAGATATGCCTTTTTAAGGAGCACTCATAGGCACAAAACATGGGCTAGACGATTACCTTCATAAAACTCCCACAACAACAGGTGCACCTTAGCTATGAGTTATTTACCTGGTCACTTGGAAAACTATCAGCTAAATCTGGTTTGTATTGGCTATTTGACTTCTGTGTGAATTAAATCCATCTGGATGCATCACTGATTACCTCTGTCCCAAATGGTTATCTGGTATTTAACTCACTCTGGTTTAAACATTTAAGTCTGCAGATCAGCACAAGTGACTTCTAGATTATTTTATCTCTTGGTTTAATGGTCAAACCCCAAACTCTGTGATGAATTGGTGCTGTGACACTATCGTAAGACTTATCAGTATGCTTCCACATGTTAGCTGATTTCAGTACACATGAAAGTCAAACAAGTTCAAGGTTTACATGAATGGTGACATCCAAAGTGGAAGCTTTTTAAGTCTCTGAGCTACCTGGTATCTGGTTATCATCTGTAATCCTCTATTTTTGGTCAATGGAAAACAGTAGTTCAGGCCAGAATACACAATACTTTGTAGATGCATCAGTAACTACGGTGAAATAGAAATAAGCTTATAAAATGTGTCATGCTACTTCCCGTTGGTAAAATAAATCAATTTATAACAGCACAGATGTTGTGCGATGATATTGCAGTAAGCACGCACCGCTACACTTATAACTTTCGTGTATGAATATTTCAGTATTGTCTGTCATCATAAGTTGACTTTATCTGGTGACTATGGATTCATATTTGCCTCAAACGTTAGTGGAAATACTGAGACATTAAAAGACGTGTATTGTGATTTCCGCCTGTAGTGTCTATAAAATGCCTGCTAGCTTCGTTCACTTTTATATGCCCTGTAAAAGTGATATTCATTCTCTATCCATAAATGAATGAAGATTTGAAACTCTATGGTTGATAGATTTGTTTTCTTCTTATAGGAAACCAGTATTGTATATGCAATAAGGTTTAATTTATCTACCAGGATATTTCAGATTATATACTTTCAATTTTCCTAGTTAGTAGACAAATGTATAACTTTTTTCTACGTGTATAGCTGTGAAACGAACCCTAACGTAAAGGAATAATTACTATTAATCTGAAAAATTACTTTTTCTCTTATACAAAACGGATTTCATCTCATGAGAATTGGACCTCCGTAGTATGTTTTATCTTGCATGTTGTTATTATCTTATAGATTTCAGCTAACCAATCAGATTTAAACTTACTGAAAGGTGAGGTATTATGTAACCAGTGACTTGTAACCTTAATTCCTGTACAAGTACTTTAAGTAATAGGCTTTATTACACTTTAAACTATATATTACTTCCGTCTATTAATATCTGCCTTGTAGTGATGTGATTTACCAACCACAATCCAAAGCCTATAAGGTTTTTAATGGTGATCATTCGTGTAAGGCAAGTGAGAAGACATAAAAATACTTGAACATGGGATCCAGTTCCAAGTTTTCATGCACACGAAAAGGTTTCAGTCCTACTCTTACACTTCACTTATCCTTTTAAATTGCAAAAATCTTCAGTGAAAACTTTCTATAGATTTGTGAGTCTTCAGTTGCTAAGCAGTGAATTCAGGTTTCTCCACTTAATGAATATGAACAAGAGGTGACTGGCTAGAAGTAGGTTACATTAGAATACTATACATCTGGTCTCGAACATTCAAACTGCAGCAAAATGGAGTGGATAGGAAAGTATGAGATAAGCGCTTAAGCTAATTCTTTTAGGTTGTAAGCAGCTGATGAGAAATCACGGAATGAAATAGATCCATGCTATTCTGCTAAAGCTGTTGTTTTTGCTCGACTTAAATTTGTGAAACGAAAAGATTGTATGAAATAGATTATCCTTCCGATTAATTGCTCCTCAGTTGCATAATTACTGAATATCAGTATTTTTGTATTTTTGTATTACTGTATCTAAAGAATGAAGCATGTGATGTACGAAAACAAGTTTCCTACACTGGTAAGCTTGCCCTATTTGTCCCAATACTTTATAACAGCTTAGACAAACCATTATCATATCATTGTTATTATTATTATTATTATTATTATTATTATAAATCATTTCCGCCAAATATATCACAAAGGCTTTATGCTACTAAAATAATTTATGTCACTGATTGCTGGGAGCTGTATCAGAAAGTAAGAATATTATTGTTGCAACTGCTTTACTGTAAATTAGAGACAGATAGTGGATAGCAGTGAAATACGCTTTTCATCCTATTTGGGACTCGTCACCTGCACGTACTCGCCTCACAGTGGACGATATTGTTCCCACTGAAACTTGCACTCGTGATCAATTGCTCCAAACACCACAGCGTTACTCACTACACCATCGAGTCATGATAGACACTTCTTGTGCGATGGATACAGTTTTAGTATTGTTACCTGTATTATCTTGTCGTCAATATATAAGCGAAACACAGGCAACATCCAGGCACCAGCACAGGAGCCTATATAGACCGATCAAGTCGGTCCACTCAATGACGGGCAAACACAAGCAACAGCAATGCTTTACTTTGAGCTACAGAAAATGATGGAGGAATTTTAATCACCAAACTAAATAAATATGAAGTAACTGTAAATCGGCTGCTTCCATATTACGCTTTCTAATATTAAAATTGACGAATACATAGTAACATAATCTACAAGCCCAAATTTCTATAGCACAGCAGTACAAAATCAGTATGAGAGAAAGAGAGACAAACAGAAAGATTTGAAGTTCAGCTTGACGAGAATTGTAATCATATTAGATTTATCAATATGTATGAAAAACTTGAAACATTCAACAATTAGTTGATGTTCATTTATTCCCCGTACTATATTAAACGGCAAATCGCTTCATTAAAACACCGTAATTTATCATTTTGAACATTATTATTATTATTTGTCCCTTGGGTTCCTAGTGGAATATAGGGCCTCAGTAGCACGCCTCCATTGCACTCTTCCCTCTGCAGTCTTTTCAACCTCGCTGCACAACTGCCCACAAGCTTTCATTCCTTCCTCATATGATTCCCTCCATGTCACCCACGGAAGCCCAACTCGTCGTTTCCCATTCAGGTTCAACTCGACGGTCGGGCCTGGTGCGTGATGTCCCAAATCGGCCTTCTCAGTGCATGCCCAATCCTCCTCTACTTTCTTCTGAATATTTGTTGCGGGATAGGTTTTTGGTTGGTTCGTCGCCAGAGTGATTTCCTTGTTGCTTACTCTTTCTGGCCATCTGATCTTCAATATCGAGCGTAGGCAGTTGTTGATGAATGTCTGTAGTTTATTGGAAGTGTTTTTCGTGACGCGCCAAGTTCCTGAACCATATAGCAGCACTGACTTGACCGAATTGGTGTTGAAAATCCAGATCTTGTTTTTTGTGTTGAGTGCAGTAGATCTCCAAGCTAGTTTCAGATTATTGAACGCCTATCTTGTTATCTTTCCGATTCTAGCTTTGACGTCCTCGTGTGTGCCACCTGTGGTTGAAACAATGCTGCCTAGGTTGGTAGTCGGGATTAAATACCTGCTGAGTAGCTAAAAATTGTCATCGATTGACAATGAATCAAAATTCATACATATGATCCACATAAAATGGCTGATGCATTTACATTACACACAAATGAGTGCATACGCAATCTCTCTAGCTTGGTTAGAACTCAAAAACCAAGAGAACAAGATTTGGAATTGAAAAGGTTATGAAAAGCATAAATCTCTTCAACTATAATTTAATTTTGCTCTAATTTTTTTCTTTTCACTTATTCATTTTAGCAAATATTGCACAAGTATGAAGTGAACAACGGTGAGAAATGAAATTGAAAGCAATTAAACCAATTCATCTACTTCTCCTAAATATACTGAAAAAAAAAATCAGGGAAACCACTCAATCATGTATAAATAGTTTTTTTAAAAGGAACTTCGGAAACATTTTCCTTTGTTAACCTAAAACAACAATAATAGTACATTTCTATTTGTATCCTACTCATTTTTCATTATGATTTTAAATTCTCCTTTGTATACATCCATCTTTATAGATACTCTCAAGAAGAGTGTATTTGTAAATCCTTCCACAAAAATTACTAGAGGCGATGTAATAGTATGAAGGAAACAATCAATATATTAAATGCAGGCATGTCAAAATAAGAACAATGATTTCTCCTTTCCGTTTCATCTTTATTATCTTCTGATTGTTTACAAAATATCTTTATAATTTACAGGGTTATCTTTTAAGACTATTGGTATCATCATCATCCTTATCATTGATTTTACCTCCTCACTGAAAATATATATCAACACACATCAAGGATATTTAGTTTTAAAGAGAAGTAGTTTATCCTTATATAGATCTTTAGTGATGACGATATGATGGAGATGACTACGATAACGACATTAGCAACAAAATAGTCAACTGTTTCAGAAAAACATCATGAAGTTGAAGAATTTACCACACTTGGTACCACCACTCTTCAAAGTTCAATGTTTTAATGACAACTAGATCATTTTGGTTAAGTTTTAGTTCATCTGAATATTTATATTTTTACTATAAAACTTTGAATCTCGAAAGTTTTATGATGTCATCTCGATATGTTTTAAAACGAAATAAAGGAATTAGAGAAGTTTTTATGTGTATATTATGAAAGTTCTATCGGTTGGTCGGGATGCCAATGGAATGCTGACCGACTAAAAGGCCGAAAGCAATCGGATATGGTACAGTCAAATGGTAATTGTTCACTTTCATATGATAATCGACGGACTGCAGTCATCTTATGACAGTCCCCGAAACCCAATCTGAAGGACGGTCAACAAAGCCGTCGGGTTAACCAGTTTGCTATTATTGTGCACTGTAAATCCAACGAAACCAAAAATAACATGGCCAAAGAATGAAAAGTGGCTAAGCGTGGGTAGATAAGAAGTTCACCAGCAAAAAAAACCTTTTTACAAATGGATGTAAAGCTCACCTTCCGTTTCAAATGACAGTAAACTACAACTTTATCTACAAATAAGGCCGTGCAGTAATTCACCCGAATAAAACAAATCCCCATTGCCTTACATAGGTCTACAAACACTTTAACCCAGTTTCGTTCACAATAATTCTAACTGGCTATTTACGCAATGATGTTTTGCTAGAACAAAACGTTATTGTCCAGTACATTATGAACTGGGACCACAAAGATACTAGACTAGCATCACTTTAATCAGGCTGGCTTAGCGACATTGTCATTCAATGTTAGTTGGTTGGAGACAATCGGCAGGAAGCCCTGGACCTAGGTTTCGTACTTTTTTGGCACTCGTCAGAAAGGCATATCTGTAACCTCGAGGGAACTGATGTCCCGCTTGAGATTTGAACCCGCGTCACCCAGTGTTGTAGTCAGCGACTTTACCACTCAGCTATTCGGGCCGCAACTGGGTTACATGTATTGATTGGTCCTAGCTTGGTTGCCACATTGCAAATATGATCGATAGGATTCGGTCTGCACTCAGGACTAGACATGAAATTGGTTGTACTCCCGTGACCAATCAAGACATTGTCACTCACCACAAAATAGTTACAGCTCATTAAAAACTGATATTCTTAGTCACTCATTAAATATGAGCCTAAAGTAATTAGATTAGGCATATAAACTCAAACAGAAATCTGTTTTATAATGAATAGTAACTTCTAAATGCAAATCCTACGCAACACAACAGATTACTGATTTCAAAAATATATCCTTTTATACACTTTATCCATTGCTAATGTTAAACTGGTAAAACTTTTACTAAATGCTCTGCAGATTTTTAGCCAGTGAAAATATTTATTTGAGATTAAGTTAGCTAAAGTGAATTTCACGGCTACAAGTATCTTTATTGTGTAATTATTTTTAACTAGGAGTATCCCACTCGAAAAAATACTGAGAGTAAATGTCATCAGGCAGCTTAATGTCCAGAAATATCCTCTACTACATATTATACTTGTTGATTGTCTATCTACTGTATGTAGTACCTTTATCTTTCAAATACAGAGTATTTTACTGTTAAATATCGTAAAGTAGACTAACAAGGAAATAATTCCATCAAGCCGGATACACACACAAACACATACGCTAAGTTGTGATATACACTCACTGAGTTAGGGCTATGTCACCTGACTAGCTAGAATATCGTAATAATCACGGCGGTATTTTAACTCATATCCTGCACATTTAAACACTAATAATGGTGTTTATACTTCATCTAACTCTCAATAATATAGTGTGAGGTAACCAAACAATCTGGTCTGACCCACTACTTTAATTGACAGAACAAATGGTGAGCTTGTTGTGAATCTTAAACATTATCTCCATTGTTTTACTACACTTCTATGTGCCACGCGTTTATAACCATTTAATTGGTGGTTTGTGGGGATCGGTTGATTCGAAGATGGCATTTATCGCAACCTCACATGAGCCGGAGAATCATTGAAAACCTGGAAACACCGGGAAGCTGTTTCATCCGTTTAGTACTCCTCAGAAATGCAGACTCATGGGGGTAGGGACCAGGATCGTCAATTCTCGCAGCGAACAGGTTACTACTCATAGATTAGTAGATTTTTGGATTCCGACCTATTCCTTTGTTCAAAATGGGCTCGAAATCTTTTCAGTTGTGACATTTTTCAGCTCATTAAGGTCTCCTATATCCTTTAATGTACACCATAATGCTGCAGTAATTAAACTCGAAAAATTGGTTACATGAACTCTGTGACGAGAATTTGGTTTCCCTAAATGGTTTCAAAATTTTCCGTCGGGATCAATGCAGCTCTACTAAGAAACGTGGTGGTGTAGCTACCTTCATCAATACCCACCAGTGAATTTGAAAATTCTCAACTGATTACACAGACTGCATCACTGTCAAATACCGCCCAAAGCATTTGAACAAGTATCGCTTTATTTTTATCCCAAATATTTATGTGACGCCTGGTTGTAGTTACTCCAAATTATCCAGTTTCCCCAATATATTCGCGGAGTTCGCAGCCCGTATACTGTGGTTCCCTGTCGATAACATATAGTGATTTCAATCCTTGCAACCAAGGCTTTCTCAAAACTCTTGGTCATCAAACCCTAGCTGACTTCACAACACGCCAGGATGCAGCACTAGACTTGATACTGGTCAGTGATTCTGATATATATATATATATATATATATATATATATATAATATATATATATATATATATATATATATATATATATATATATATATATATATATATATATGAAACTTGAAAGAGAGCCCTACTGCTACACAAAGCAGCCTTCACATTTAAGAAAATTGTACGTAGAAACTATTCACATAGTAACATACCTAATCTATGAGAAATGTTACAACTTACAGACTGAAACATATTTGAAAGTGGTCTTTCAAACTACAATATTTATTGTATGACATACTGTCTCAAGTTTCGCATGGAAATCTGTTGCCCTAGTAAAAAACTTTTTCTACAATTCGATTCTATATCTTCTCCTCAACTTGAGAGACTAAGAAGAGAAAAAGAAAGGCTATTTAAAGTAAGTGATTATGCTGGTGCTCATCGATTGAACGTTTTGATTCGGTTGGAAATTAAACTTTTGAGTCTACTATACAACCAGAAACTTCTGTCATCCAAAGGCTCTTGCAATATGTAGAAACTTTCTAAAGACCTCACTAGAGGTAAACATCTTTCTAAACAAGCATGTGTCGACGTACGTGCCTTGAACAAATCGTTTATACGTCAACCCACTTGTCCGATCCCACTTTGTCTACTTATGTCCAGTGCAGAACGTTGTCCAGAGTTCACCCAGAAAGATGTTTTTAAATGTCTCAAATCCCTGAATCCTTCACACAGTTTAGGTCCAGATAGCATATTAAATTTCATATTCACGAAATGTACTGAAATATTACGTCATCTATTAGCTAACATATTTGACAGATCGGTCACAGAAAATGCCACACCAGCTGCCTGGAAAGATATCCAGGATCTTCACGTGATGTTGTCTAGAATGACAACCATTAGACTTTCGGCGACCGTAATCAGTTTGCTTATAAAAGCTGAAGTACTAAGCATGCCACCACTCTCTTATATCACAATATTGCTTATGATCTTGATAAAAATGTCAAGTACGTCAGGTGTCCCTTTTTACACTATACTTCAGCATTTGATTCTGTCCCAAGACCTCTTTTGCTGCATTAGCTACACGGGACTCATACTCAGTCCTGAATAATCAGCTGGCTGTATTCATTTCTCCGAAAGTAAACTACATGCCGTTCACAGAGGGAAGTGCTCCACCTCATTGCTTACTGTGACTGCTGTTCCCCAAGGAACCATCCTTTCCCAGTCTTTCCTCTTCCTTTCTGCATGACTTACCATCTGCCAGTATCAATTTTAACAAATATGCTGATGACCTGACAGTCTCCTTACCTGTCTCCTCTTCAACAGATTGTTCTCAACTAAATTATTTCCTATTTACTGTTAGACGACGGTCCTCCATGAACGATCTTATGCTTAATTCTTCAAAATGTCAGACTGTAAACTTTAGTTTTAGAAGTGAACATTACACATGAAACTGCTTAGTTCTCACGATTACCGTCCTATTGATAGTTGTGCATTAGAGAATGTTGCAACTGTGATTTATCTCAATGTCTGTTTTTCTTCGGACCTTTCCTGGTCCTCCCATATCTGGTTAATTTCCAAAAGAATTTCCGCCTAACTTTCTATATCAGGAATCTGAAAGTATCTGGAATAACTCAACCTTTCTCTCTCTTGTGTTTTACTAACTTCTACACCTCCTCTGTTATTCTTCTTCATTTTTTCACAGGTTGCTGAAAAAAGACTATGCTATATTGCGTAGAACTTTGAAGATTGTCAGCAGAACTAGTGGTGTACATCTAAACCTTCTAGTTAAAATAATTGTGGACAAACACATTAACTCATGTAAACATCTGGTAGCAGTTATTTTATCGACTGACCAGGATCCTCTTTAATCAAAACTCTCTGAGTGTCGGTCATCAGGAAAGCCTAGGAGCAAGTACATTAGGCTTTGTGCGCATACTACTAAATATAAAAACTCTACAATGCTGTATATATTTAGCTGGTCTGCTGTGAGCTGAAGTATTAGAAGTGGACTAACTAGTCAATTTCTGTTTTGGCAGCGAACTAACTGATGATGAGCCTGTCACTATTTACGTATTATGAAACTAATTGCGAATGTGATTGTCTACCTAAGTTAACCCTGAATTTTAAAGAAAGTTGTAGAAAGAGTAAATATTCTTATCTTTTATGTGTAATTTATACTTATTTCATTTCGCTATGTATAAATGTACACTGTTTCGGTCGAACTGATGCTAAATGACATGCTGGAAATTCTGTAGAGTATTCTGGAAATAGCTATTCGGAATTAAGCATCACCGTTATTACTATTATTACTATATTATTATACGTATAAGTACCCGAAGCGTTACATTGTCAAAATTCTGAAGTGGTAATTTTCCCGAAAAGTAACTAGTAAAGATATGACCAATGTGTATATCAATGCACTCGGCTCGATAACTACCAGGTTAGACAGCATTTGTTTAAACCTGAAGCTGACAAGAAAAGCAATCTTCGGAACATAGCTGTCGTAAGCCCTCATCGTTTCAAGTTTACTGGGTTGGGTTTCAATTGTACAAGTTTATTTCCACCCGAGTTAAGCTCCTTACGCTGAAGTTGGAGGCCATAGCCTGGTTTTGTTTGGATCTGTAGACGAAATGAATCAGGACGATAAACAGTCAACAACAAGTGACTTTAACTGAACTCCTTTGTCCTTGTGTGTTGACATCCTAACTAGGCCGCTCAACCCTTTTACATCATATACATTTTCCATGCACCTGTTAAATATATTATTATTATTCGTGGGCAAATGGAATACTGTTATCTTCTTTCTGAGTCAGCTGGTGTGACAATAGGGCCAAAAGAATCAAGTTCACAGACATGAACCCAGAATAATACCAGTGGATACGACTAGCGTTCTATAATCGCTTCAATCACCCAATCATAAGATAAGAAAAAACAATTGAAGTTACCACCAGTAAAAGTGATTAGATCGCCAGGTCAAGAACGATACAAATTTCTATAAGAGATTAGATATCTTTTGGTATACGTAAGCCTTCAATTTATCCAGATTGCAGTTGTCAATTACATTGATGGAGATTAAGGATACAAGTGTGTCACAATGCATTTTGATATTCACTGTACTAAACAGTGCACAGTTAATCGTCCACTAAAAGACGATCATAAACTGTACTTTGACGGACGTATAACTTTGAGGTGATGAAGAATATTTCCAGCCAAACAATGATTTTCATAATATTGTGTTCTCTCAGCTGCACAATTAAATCGTGAGACTTCCATTGTCATTCTAAACAACATCATCAGCACAAACTTCAGAAAGAACTGAGCTACGGGGTTTTCTCCACAGGTGAATTAGTAGCTTGTCCTGATAGCCCTGTATCTGATCGGTTGTTCGTGCCAAGGTCTTGTCATTGCCTTCATATTTATTTCGATTGGTTGTCCTACTGATGTGAACTTTGACCTTTTTAATGTTTCTTATTGGTTGATAGATTGACCTAATGCCAATATATCTGTTGATCACTGACTAACCTGAATATCAAGCTTCTAAAAATTCTCCACCACTTTGTATTCCCTCTACCCAGGATTTCCACATTTTCTCAGTCGAATTCATGTCCACGGTTGTGCGTAGGTATTGCTATACGGGAAGATATGTCGTGACGCTTCACTGCTAGCTGATGTTCATGTAGGCAGATGCAAAGAAGGCGACCACACTGCCCGATATAATGCATTTTGCAGTTTCTGCAGTTTATTTTGTGGATAATGTTTTGTTTGTCTTTCTTCATTATTGCATCTTTTTATCTACATAACAAAGAGTGAAGAGATTTTGTGGGCTTGTGAGCTACAGTGATTCCGAAAGGATTTGATAATCCAGTCGTGACCTCGGAGACGTTCTTCATGTAAGGTAAGACAATCCGTTAGTTAGTTTCCGGGATGACTTCTTGGTTGATGAATAATTACGCAAACATCTTTTGATGAAGTTGCATGGATCACCTGCTCTTTTGGAAAATGGTCACCAAATAGTTTCCTTCTTTTCCTCCCGAGGTTGATATAGTACATTGTGTTTCCACTCTTTTGAACGTTTTTATACTACTGATTTTGGGTGCTGTTGGGCTGTGGCTAATGTAGTTAAGGATTTGTTCCGTATGAGTTGGTTTTCCGTATACTTCAGCTAGATTTTACGGTGGACCGAAATTCCAGAAAAAAGGGATTCCCCTTAGATCAATTATTGACTTTACAAATTCTATAACCTATCGTCTATCTAAATATTTATCAAGAATTTTGAAACCATTCCAATATGACATTTCATCGAATATTAAAAGTGCTCAGGATTTCAAAAATAAACTACTGAATATGACCATAGAAGAAGATGAAATTATGGCAAGTTTTGGTGTAATTTCTCTTTTCACTAACATACCGGTTGTTGAATGTCTAGATATTGTAAGAACTGCTATTCATAATAACCAAAACATAATATCTGAATGTCCAATTTCAACAGAGGACAATATAAAATCGTTGAAGCTTTGCTTAGAATCTACATATTTCACGTTTAGAGATAGAATGTACCGTCAATCAAATGGAGTTGCAATGGGTTCACCAGCATCTCCAATTGTAGTGACACTCTATATGAAGGCTCTAGAAAAAAAAGCTTAAAGAAGTGTTCATTGCCAATCCAGAATTTGGTGTAGATATGTGGATGACACATTTGTCATTCTTAAGAAAGCAAACCAACAGGAATTTCTAGAATATTTAAATTCTATTTCAAATTCCACTAAATTCACTAGTAAAATAGAATCTAAAGACGGCACTCTGAACTTTTTAGACTGTCTTATCCAAAGAACGACTGAAAGTAAATTCTGCATGAAAATATACAGAAAACCAACACATTCCAATAAATATTTAGACTTCCAATCGGATCATCCAACTAACGTAAAGGCTAGTGTCGTACTAAGCCTACTAAACAGAGGGGAAAATATCATAATTGATCCCAATGATTTAAAAAGTAAAATCTCGCGAATAAAGAGTTTTGATGGAAAATGACTACCCTAAAAAGTTCTTGAATAATATCATCAGTCAGACGAATAAAACAGCAAGTACTACTACTTGTAATAAAGGTACAACAAAATCATGGGCATCATTTATGACGATACCATATCGAAAAGATACTTCTGAACAGATTAGAAGTGTGTGCCTCACATGATATTAAAGTATGTTTTAAACCTTTGAATTCACTTGAAAAGATCTTAGTCAAAGTGAAAGATACAATTCCTAAGATGACACAGAACAACTGTATCTACAAAAAATTAAATATTTGGAATATGAAGCTAATTATATTGGAGAAAGTTGTAGACCCTAAAAGTTAGGATAAAAATGAACACAAGTTATGTACGAAACATCCACCGAAGAATTAAGATGAATTAAAAAATTTAGAGAAGCAATCAGCGATATCTATGCATGCAATCGAAAGTGAACACAATTGACTTTGAGAATGTAGACATATTGGGGAAAGGTTTCCATTCACATAAAGAAAGATTAACTTCCGAGGTCCTGCACATTTTAATATCAAATGCTATAAACAGAAAAGAAGGACTAGATTTGTCACCTGTCTGGCAAACATTAATCCGCCAAAATCATTAATGATGACTTTTTCTAATTCAAGTACAATAACAATTATTGACAGTTTTATAAATAAAAGTACAACAAATAACATATTTTCTACAACATACACAAGCACACATTTTGACTATCTTATATATTCGTTGACAAATGACACTAATAACAACCATGAACTTGCAAAGACTAATCTTAATTATTCAGGTTAGGCATGAAAATCACCCAACCAATGACCTACGTCCACGAAATATATTTGATGTATCATTTGACTATATATTTTGATGTTAATAAAAATCCGTATATTCTGCTGAAGAAGCTGTGGCTTACACAGAGAAACGTTCAGAAATATCTTGTTTTGATTTTCTAAACACGCTGGGATTATATTAAAATATATTCTTATAATGATACAATCAGACTCGGTGCTTAACTTCTTCCAGGATATTCGTAACAACTATGGTCTGGATGTTTATAATATTAGTATTCACTCTGAAGATTTGTGAACAACTGATCGATTTAAGAGGGGTTCCCATCATGGATCGACATTATCCAAAGAACCACTGGGAACCTGTCAGCGCTGGAGAGCCGTTTCATCCTAGTTTGGTATTACTCATTAAACTACACTCATAACTTCATGAACGGTCGAACCCATAAACGACAGGTTTCACTATGAGTACAACACTACTCAGCTACTGGGTCCGGATCCAGTTTCCCATGTCTTCCAAACTATCAATCTGCAATATTGAACAACCATCATCCAATTCCATCAGTGAGTTAGTCAGCCACTACTTGCATGGGACCTGACTACTGCGCAACGGTTAACGATGATTCACCTCATATCAGTACACCAAAGTAGGAGGAACCAAGGTGAAAGAGGAGAAATAAGGACAAATACAATTAAGTGATGGAAAGTTGTGAAAAAAGAATGAAGCGGAATGATACAATAATGAAATTTGCTTTGACGATTAGAATGAAGATGTGCGGATAAATATCTGCCATTGACATCGATTCTAAGCCATATCACTAGCGTTTCGGTTGTCGACCGGGTAGTCTACATTTCACTACACGTCTCCGACGAACAGTCAAAGACTTCAGAGTCATGCATCAGTCTGGTCACCTCTACACCTGCAAGGCCATGAGAACTAGCTATCAAATCTGCAGAAGTTCGAAAAACGAATTTTGTAGATTTGACCGATTAGATTTACGCACTCAGCTACGATATTCATATTCGTGCAGTAATCAATGAGCTACACCTATTGTGTGAGGGCTACTGATACTGCCTGGCCGCTTCAATAGATGCAGCGGGGCTCGAACTTGTTTCCTAATGGTCGGTAGTCATCTCCCTAAACCACTGAGCCATAGCTCCCATTCGGCGTATTAGCCGGGTGAGGTAAACTGAATAACTTCATTTGTGTTCCCTACGCACATCTCACAAATACAGCAGACGTCCATGACCCACGATATCAGTTTTGGCTAACAGAGTTTGGTGTCTGACAATTACTCTCCACCGGTGACTGTTTCTTCTTACACCCAACTTGGATAAAACAGATATTTAGTGCTCCTAGGTTTCCAATGCTTCTCTGATACATGTCGACCGGTGACGAAAAACCCCTTTCAGGAAACTCAAAAGTAGTTCTTACCATTTTCAGTTATCTTGTTCAACACATTCTCCTTCCAGGTAAATCTATAACATATTTAAGTATTTATATCTTGATCCATGTGGAGAAACTGCAAAAAATGGAAATGGTTGTCAAAATCTTAACAATAAGGAGTAAAAAGAATTCTTTCAGTGTTTGCTTGACTTTATTCAGGTGTGAAATTTTTACAGGGGATCACAAACCATACTCATTGCGAATGAATACTGAAACATAAGCTAGAGTTTCTTCAAAAAGGGATTTTCATAATTAAGAATACGTCAAGGAACACAAAATAGACTCAGCACTACTGCTGTTTGGATGATCTGCCATGCCGAAGGTTTTTGAAGACTGTTAGCCTGCTACGGACATCACGGTCATTAACACCACTTTCAACACTACTTGGGCTTTGGCGAATTGCTTCTACACGATTTTCCAATAAATCAGGATGAATAACAATATCATCTACATCCATCCGTAAACCGTGAGTCTGAAAAACAATATCTACGCTTAGTAACGAAAACGTCTACAAATATGGGTGAACCAAAATAAAGATAACCAAGCTCACACTTCCACATAGAAAACTCAAAGATTCATATATGAACAATTTTCGTAATGATGAAGAATGTCCGACTCACTCAGATGTAACTATCTTTAACTTTAATCACTTTCCTATAGCTATATCTACAACATAAGTGACACAAAATGCACGGAGATGCCCAAGTACAACTAGTTAAGGTCTGAAAAAGAGCCCTTTATGCACTGGCTGATCAGGTACAATGCAATGGTAGCCGAGACTATACTGAGTTACCTTGTAAATTGTAATACAAAGATAAGTTTGATATTTCAAAAAAAATGGTGCTAACGACAATTTTGGAGTAGACAAACTTCTCATCACCACCTAGATATTGATGTATGAGTAGGAATATACAATTCAACGTATCTCACTATTCATTTGTGCTTCACTGATGCGTAGTGATTACTTGACCTTACCAGTGTTTATTAATTATATTTTACTATACAAACGTTTCAAAACTCATTGGACTGCAGATCGACAAAATTACTGAAGGAGTTCTCCGAAGGAACAGCCTTAACTGTAATCGTTTGCAGTCGAAGATTACAAAAGATCCGTTTAATACGTTAAGACCCTAACATGTTCCTAGAAACTTCTTTTATTAACCGTCTCGAAAAACAGATACAATAGTGACAAGATACCTAAGTGCCTAAGTATAATATTTTACAACTCTGTAGAGAATTGATGAAACAGGTATTCCTATAGCTGTAGGGAACCCAGTATGATCCAAACTGGCTTGTAGCTCTTTCATTACGGATCATTCATACAGTAATCACAAAAACCCAGATGCGAAATGTGACAGATTTGTGAACCAGGCAAAACACTCCACAGTAAATAAATATATTCTACGACGACCATACTACTTAACATTGAGGAACTATGCTATTTTATTGGTATTACTGAGAACAGGCTGTGGGAAGTCTTCATCGTAAGTGCGATCCGCCAGAGGGCCGAACCACAAGCCTTTCACAGAACATCTTCGTCAGCTATCTACAATTTTTACTTCATCAGCAACTATCCAGGTCAAAAAATATATTATTGCAACAATATGTAACGGCTACCCCCATCCAACAAGTAAAAAAAAACAGCTAGCCACTCTAAAAATATGGTTGAAATCATCTACTCGTTTTGTGGTAGAAATCAATCACTTCCTTCATAAATGCCAATGTTAATCAGGTGTGACTAGTTATAAGCTTAGTTATTATTATTACGACAGTTAAATTAATGGTGACTGCCATTAAAAATATTATGCATGCCTACATTTTTAGGAAACACTACAAAAAAGGTAGATGAAAGTAGCCATGTTAACACACTAGTTTCCTCTAACTTTTGGTATCTTTTCTAATTCCCTACTCCAAGCCACTGAGTTGTAGCAAGTAACTGTTGGATATTTAAAAAGTTGGTAGACTAAATTGAAAGTGCTGTCAACATCTAACTACTGTGCGGTCGCGGCTACAGATTAACGTAGTTAGGAAGCAGAGTTCCACCAACTGCTTTTATTTCACAAGACCGAAAATGTGGAACCACAAAGTAATTTTTCTTACCTCACAGGTGAGAATTAAACCCTATAAGCAAAATAAGCATCTGTTTTCAACCTCAAACACCCAAGACACCTGACTAAACAATGTGAAACGACTTAATAGGACATTTCCAAATACTAAGAAAAAGTAAACAACAAAAGTATGTCCGAATATGTTAGTAGCGTATGAAAAAATGTGAGGTATACACAGAAGCTAGTCACCTTAAAAGCATTCAGAAGAGATATTGAACTGCATACTGAGTTTTATAATGGTGCCTCTATAATTCGACAACTTAACATGTGGTGTCTGATACATGCTACTTTGGCTTTCGCGCCTCCTACCCGATTTATGCTTACATTAATATGAACTTTCGACAGATAAAGGTAAAAAACGCACATTTGACTTTGACATTTGTCCTCTTAAAGCTTCTCTAATAGAATTTGATGCCTCCGTTATCTGTTTTTGATGCAGTTCTGATTCATATCGCCGATTATTAACTGTTTTTATTTCGTTAGCTATATGAGCTAGCACAGATTCAACTCGAGCACACCAAGAGTCCAGTTTCCTTTGCAGCTCAGGAATCTAAAATAATGGTAAAACAAGGTACGGTTCTCACTTGCTCTATGCGTATATCACGCCCGATAGCGGAGCTGACTTCCAATAAAGCTTTTTGTTGATCAAGCTTGCCCGTTATTGCTTCGAGGTAGAAAAGCTCAATTATCAGGTCTTCTAGATCTCTTGATGATGTGAGATCAAGCTTTCTGCATAACAGACTATATGGTATACGCTTCTGGTTGTATGCTTCATCGATAATTGAAAGCTGCTTCAGCTTCCGAATATGAGAAGGTCGTAGTTCAGGATACGCAGATCCATTGTTAGTATACGTTTCAAATGTACCATAGCAGAAAAGATTCATCAAGTTATAATACTGAGAATATTCTCCATTTTCGATAGACTTAATTTTGGATGGTCGAGAAATTCTCCGAAGACAAATAAACCTCAAGAAACAAACATATAGGAAGCTAAAATCCAAACCTGGACATTCAGTAATGGATAGTATGAGTTCCGGTAATGCAGAGCTATCCGCAGTGGGTAACTGGCTCAAAAACGTTTCTACTTTATCAGAGGTCATCGACCTTGAGGGATATAAAGCGCGCTTCAGTAAGCCAATATCCAATATTGATAGTACGAGCGTAGAAAACTGATAGCTTTTGATCTCTCGCATCTAGTTCTTAGGGCTTGGTTCGAGTTGTTCGGTTCACTCCTGCAGTGAACGAGGAAAACCCCTTTGCTTTCTCGCTTTTAGCCTCGGTGAGGTAAAAGTTTTGTGGGTAAGTTTTAATTTGTAGAGTGTTTGGGGAGCTACAGGTTGTTGGGAAGTTTAGGGAACTGCAGTGACCTCTGTCTGTAAAGGTGCCTGAAAGAGAACAGTAGGTCAATGGTAAAAGAATGAAGAGGAGAAAGAAAAAATAAAACAAGAGAAGAGAAAAAGGAAAAGAAGGGAAGGAGAAGAAAAGGAGGGATGAAAAAGAGGAATAAGAAAGAGAGAAAAGTACTTGGGAGTCGCGTGAATGATAGCGTGTGTTTCGTTCCTACAGAAGAATGGTAATGTGGGTGTATTAAGGAGGGAGGTAGTGAGTGGTAGTTAGGATTGAGTTGGGGGCTAGTGAAGTTGGTGACTACCTGAGTAGGTCTATGGTAGACTATGCGAGGTGACGTGACTGTCTAATCGTCTCTTGAAATAGTCGACTGAAGGAGCTATAACAATATGCCGCGGTAAGGCTTTCCATAAATCACATACTCTTAGGGAGAAAAATTTAGACCTGAGTATGGTGTTGGCTCTCTGGTGCGCTATCTTAATGGGGTTTCAGTTTTCAGTTATAAGGATAGTAGGCCAGTTGGCCTGTGTTAATCCTTGCAGAAAATATCTCTGTGAAGATCTAGTTTCTCCTTGAACGCGTTGATAGAAGGTGCTGATACTACTTGCTGAGGTAAGGAGTCCCAGACGTTGACAACACGGTGGGAGAAACGCAGATTCACGCTAAGTTGATTCCATCTCGGTTTTAGAAGTTTCCTGTGATGCCCTCGGAGATAGTCAGTCCTAGCAAGGGAGAAAAGATAGGACATATCAGTGCTGAGGTCATTAGTAAGAATGAGATCACCCCGTCTTCTGCAGTGAGACAGTGGGAATAAATCTAGCTGATCTAGTCGTTCTTCATAGGACAGATTCAAAAGGCCTGCCACGGGCTTAGTACCTACCCTTTGAACACGCCCGAGTGCGTCAGAATCCTTTTTTAGGCATGGACTGGCCACCTGAAACAGTATTCCAAGTGAGGTCTAACGTAGGTACAGCAGAGTATTTTAAACATATCCTCATCAAAAAATGTGAAAGCCCTGCGGAGGGACCATAATATACAGAAGCCCTTTGCTGCAGCTGCATTACAGCTTGCCGAGGTTTTCAGATCATGATTAATGATGACACTTAAGTCTTTTATTTCAAGGACTGGAAGTAGTGGTGTAACATCAACAGAATGCTGGAAACAACTGCTATGACCAATGTGCATTATTGCACCTTTGTTAGAATTGATTTCCGAGCACCAGCTTTTGGACCAACCTGCTATTTCATCTAAATCCACCTGAAGTGCACACCTGTCTGCATCACTGCGTATGGCTCCCCAAATCTTTTCGCCATCGGCAAATAACAGCACCGAAGAGTTGAGCATATTTGGCAATTAGTTGATAAATAACAAGAAAAGTAGTGGACCTAGGATTGTTCCTTGAGGAACTCCACTCATCACAGGTTTCCACCTAGATAGCGTCCCATTTACCCTTACTCTTTGCCTTCTATCGTATAAAAGTCCTTAATCCAAGCTTGTGGTGAAGTATCAAATCCGAAGGAGGAGAGCTTTCCTAGTAATTTCACACGCGGCACTTTGTCGAATGCCTTACTGAAGTCTATAAACATGGCATATATTGGCAGCTTGCAACCACGGGCTGCAACCCCTCCTCTCTCGCAATAAGGAGGTTAGTTAGACAGGAGTGCCCGGTACGAAAACCATGCCGCTGTGGCACCAAAAGATTCCTTGATTCTGCATGTTTGAGTACCGTGTCATGAATCATTTTTTCTAAAATCTTGACAGCTATGCTAGTTAGGCTCACAGGGCGATAGTTGGATACCAAATGGCGACTACCGGTCTTAAGGACTCGGCTGATCATGGCATCTTTCCAGTCTCTAGGGCGGCGAGACTAAGTTAAAGACATGTTGAAAAGACCCGTGACCGGCTCAGCAACGATGTCTGTTAGCGAGGGTAGAAGTCTGGGATTCAACTCATCGGGACCTGGGGATTTTCCATGTTTGAGGTTGATGAGCAACTGTAAGACTCTTTCCTTTGTTGTGAACACTGTATCTATCAGTGGAACAGTGCTGGCACCACTATTTAGCACTTCATCGCCATGATCTACAGAGAAGACTTCACTAAAGTAGTCGGAGAGACATTCAGCTTCGGACGGATTAGATTCCGCCAGGCTATCGCACTTCTCAGCCGTCGCCAGAGACGAAATTCCGCCTTTTCCTTTAGTCCTCCTTCTGACGAATGCGAACAGTCTTTTAGGACAGTTTTGGCAATCCCCCACAAGCTGCTTCTCATAGGAAATTTGAGGCCGTGTAAACAAAACCTTGCAAAAATTACGGACTTTACAGTGCTCAGTCTTAGATGCTTTCGGTCTAGTTTCTAGAAACAAGTCCTATAAACTTTTCCTCCGCCTTAACAGTTTCTCAGTGTCTGTATTAAACCACGTAGGGCTATGTGAGGATCGTCGTGGAGTGGAACATGGAATAAATCGCGTCGCTACCTCTTCAAACAGAGTTCTTAACCTATTCCATTCATTCTCAATTGATGAGCCCTTGTCGATAGTCCAATACTTACCGATTGTGCAACCCCTTATACTTGAAATGTCCGCAAGCCATACATTAGGTCTAGGGAGGCAGTGTCATAATCAAACTCATTGGTCCGAAAACCAAAAATTAGTGGTACTTGGTCGCTGTTAGTTAATGGAGTGAAGTATCGTAGATCCAGAATGTCTTCACATTGATGGGTTAAAACTAAGTCTGATAACGGTGGCTTGTGTTCAAAATCGTAACATGTTGCACATTTTACGTTACGTGGACGTCATCCCTAATGTATAGTAGTATGCCGCCACCTTTGCGACCCACAACCCTACCAGTCCTTACATAGTAATAACCTGCGAGGAGTGACGTAAAATCTAGATCCTTGATCAACCAGGTTTCAGTAAGGGTTACTACGTCAGGACCTAGCTTGCAGATTACAGTCTCGAGGTCCGTCATTTTGCTGCCAATACTGCGAACGCTAGTGTAGATGACGCTCATCGTGTTGGAAGAGTTCCATGACCCACCCATATGAGCCTTGGAAGCATTCGCTTCCAAGACCTCACAACCCGAAAACCCACTATTTTAAGATCATTTTCACCACTAGCCTGTCGAGCCCTAAGTTCGGCAGCAGCTTCTCTTCTTTTTATGCCGTCCTCGAGGGGCCAGTCAGGTCGGATGAGGATATCCGAATTTCGTAGTTTGGATGCGTTACTCAAGGGCACATCCACTTCATCCTTGTTGCTTAAAACAACCTCTAAAATTCTCTTCTCACCGGGTTTTTCGTCCGTTTTCTTACCTAGCCTAACTACTTTGGAGATGTATGCCCCTTTAGACTTTTCGGGCAGAATACGCCTGATGGCCAGCTCGACTAGTTGCAGGTCATGGCCATAATGTATTGAAGCATCTTTGTCTGACGACTCCTCAACATTCCAGAAGGTTAAACTAAGCGCTGCAGTAGAATCCCTGAGTCGTGTGTTGACGGCCTTTGAAACCCCCTCAATAGGTTTCATAAGCTTAGTATCTTCTGTGATAACCTTTGGCAGTCTCTCCGGATGCTTACTTGGAGAAATCCATGTAGATTAGTTGGCCACTTTTACGGGGTCATCGCTGTTACCAGAGACACAGGCTTTCGGTGAATCCTCAGGCATTATGGTTGGTGTACCATTTACCCTTGGCTTTCTCTTGCGTCGAGTACGCTCCGGGACTGACGTAATTTCACCAACTGGATCACCAGCATCCATTAGTCCATTGAGAGGTCTTGTGTCAGATATCTTAACAATTACACTTGTAGCGTCATCATCTGACACCGCACTGGAATGACAGCTATCATTTCCACATGGCTGTTTTTTGACAAGCAAATTTTCAACGGCCTCCTGGATAGGGGTTAGCAATGGCTTGCAGCATAAATCACACAACCAGGGAGAAGCTGGTTTGCTGCAACGCTTGTACACAGTTAGTGTCAATCCTGTACAAACTTTGTGGAGCCAACATCCACATGCTTCACGCTACGTACCGTCATCCATCGGGAATTTACAGCTGGAAGACCGCAAACATGCTTATAGCTGACCATGTTATTCACTCGCGTCGTGTACTAACTAAAGTACTCGGTCAAAATTCCGACAAGAGGACTTAAGTCGTGACAACACATATACCAACCTTAAGCCTCAAAAAACGATTAAACTTCAAACACTGACTTAAGTACTTCAAATCAAGGGTTATATGAGAGCTCTTAATGTGAATTACACAACAAAGGCAAAAGTATCAAAAGCGTGGAAAAATCCACTTCCTGTTTTCAAAGTGCGCGCTGTTCAAATGATTACCAACGAAATGGAAGCTTTCGCTTGGCTGGCCTTCGCATCTAGAGTTCACGGATCACTGGTTCGTGTGATTTTTTGACTAGATGCAAGTTGAGACAGCAAAATATGGCGGTTCAAATGAGAAGATCCAGTTAGTTCTGAGCAGGCCCCACCCAACACAATATCCGACACTTCTTAACGAGCTGGTGCAAAACAACCGACTTCTTTTCTCTGGCTTCTAGCTATTGCAGAAATTTTCGAGGTTTTTAGCTAATTCCGATGCAGCAGGTCCGCACATTCGCTTCCTATAGCCCTGGTTAGATCAATGGGTATTTGGGAGTTATTTAAACCTGTAGTGATTGTGTAATTTGTCAAAGGTCTGCCGCGCGGCTGAGTTTCTCAAATGTTGTGCCACAGGACAGTTGTTGTGACTGGTCGTGAAGAGAGAATAGAAAGGATAAAAATATGTACAACGAA